TTGTTATTCGTGGTCATTACTCTAAATATGTATTCTTTGTGTGATAGATGATAGTTTGTTGCCTGTCAGTGAAGAGCTTTTGTGAACTAATCCTTGTTTTCTTATAACAGGTGGCTGGTTCCATGAAGTTGGAATTGGCCCAGTACCGTGAGGTTGCAGCTTTCGCCCAGTTCGGTTCTGATTTGGACCAGGCCACACAGAACCTGCTCAACAGGGGTGTTCGTCTCACCGAGCTGTTGAAACAGGGACAGTATGGTAAGTGAACATTTCCAAAAGAGTGGCAAAAATAAGTCACTTAAAGAAATTTAGCTGGTATGAATTCAGTCAGGAACTTGAAAATGGCATTTATGTTTGCTGAAGCTTTCATATTCAAACAGCGTTAACTTGTTAACAAATTACAGTAGAGACAGGTTTTGGAAGGCTGTTTTTATGCCAGGTCAAGATATTGCAATCATGGCTAAGTCGATCCCATCCTATAGGGACTATTTTATGCAAATGAGTGAACAATTTGATAGCCGACACTAAGAAACGGAAATATTTTTTTTAAAGATGCTTTATGGAAATAGCAGTCACTTGCCTTATTTTATGTTTTGGGTGTAACAAGTGGTTGTCCTATTGCAGTGCCAATGGCCATTGAGGAACAAGTTGCAGTCATCTATGCTGGAGTAAGAGGTCATCTTGATAAAGTAGATCCATCAAAAATCACTGTTTTCGAAGCTGAATTTTTGCAACATCTGAAGAGCAGCCATCAGGACTTGCTGAAGACCATTGCCACAGATGGAAAAATCACAGACCAGGCAGACGAAAAACTGAAATCAATTGTGACAAGTTTCATAGCTGGGTTCCAGTCTTAATTGTGCTTGTTGCTAGGACTATCATTCATTGTTTGACCAGTGTATATTAGATACTACCAATTATCTATTGGAGTACCCTGAGAGTGTGTCAGAGGCAAGACCAAGACTTAACCAAGGTGTCTATGTATAAGCCTTAAAAAACAAAGTGAAGTATGTACAGAAGTTGAAATTCAATTGCATTTGCATTTTTTGAAAAATAAATGCAAAGATACCATTAGTGTCTTCTGTTTTGAGTTCTGATATATATATTCGATCTTCTGCACCACGGCCATTAATGTATGTCTGCCTGTTCCATGGTTACCAGTTTTCATGACAACCTTGAGTATCTTCTGACTCGTGAATGCTGACAGTCAGTAGCCAATAAATATGGTGTGATCACAACAGTGGACCCGTCAATCAAAGCAGGAGGCCAGAAGAATGACATGTTAGACTTGACTGAACCAGAATGGGATTTCTCTTGACTAATAAGAATTCTGACAGTCTGAGGTAATGAAAGAAGTCAGCTTTTGTCGGCTTCAGTTTTAAAAATTCATTTGGACATGAATGCAATAACACAGGATCAGTATACAGGAAATGAATGAACCTTATGAAAATGTAATTATTTCCTTACATGGTAAACAGCTGAAATATAAACCAGAAATTTTGCATGCATCTCACCACTAATGATGAATTTGATATATACTAGGCACATAAAGAAACTGTATATACAAAAATTTAAAATCTACATTTATCAAACCTGTGTAGACACATAAGGATTTAACCTCAGAGATTAGTGACATGTATCCAACATGCATGCACGTTCCGTGACGTCAGTGGGTTCGTCCTTGAGACGTGCAATACGTTGTTGCACGTGCATTCCGAGAAACAGAGCAAATGAATGCTACACAATACTGTCACTTTGGAAAGCTCAACCCCTGCCCTTGCGATCGTTCAAAAAATTCAACGGCTATTGAAACGCATAGCATGCCAAGGCTAGTTGGCCATTGGAATGCCACCGGAACACCATTTCTGCACTGGTGAGACGCTACCAGAACACAAATGACGTCATCGATTGGCCACGTTCTGGACATCCACGTGTAACAACGCCAAGACAGGACATATGGATAAGGGTGACCCATCTTCGCCACAGGTTTCAGACTGCAGTGATGACTGCCCGAACCATCCCAGGACTTCACCGTATCCACCCCAACACAGTCCGACAACGTTTACGTCATCACGGGATCAGACCATGACGTCCCGCCATACGGCCTGACACAACGTCATCGACAAGCTCGCCTAATGTGGTGCCAAAATCATGTCCGCAGACCCTTGTTTTGGTGGAGAAATGTTGTTTTTACAGATGAGTCCAGGTTTAACATTTCCCATAGTGATGGACGTCAACGTGCCTATAGACGAGTGGGAGAACGTAATGCACAGGCCTGTGTCTTGGAGAGGAATCGCTTTGGTGGTGGTTCCATGATGATTTGGGGTGGAATAACAGCACGCCAAAGAACTCCTTTGGTGATTGTTCAGGGCAACTTAACTGGTGTGGGCTACAGGGATCAGATTCTTCGACCTGTGGCAATTCCTTTTCTGCAACATCATGTCCCTGGGTTAACATTCCAACAGGACAATGCCCGCCAAGGCAAGGGTTGCTATGGATTTCTTGCAACACCACAACGTTGACTTACTGCCTTAGCCTGCAAATTCACCGGATCTCTCCCCGATAGAGCATGTTGGGGACGAGATGGATCGACGTCTACGCCGTCTTCCTCATCCGCCAGATAACGTCCTTGAGAGAATCTGGCGTGACATCCCACAAGCCTTCCTTGCACGTTTGATAGGCTCTATGCGTCGTCGATGCACTGCTGTTCTCAATGCCGATGGTGGGCATACCCGTTATTGAGCTTGTGACATGGTTGTTTGACCCCTGTCCCGCTTGTGCACTCGTGACGTCATTGTGATGGACTTTTCAATTGAAATTCTCCCGACTTATTATGGTCTCATGATCCCTCCATTAAAGTTTATATGTACCTTTGACATTGTTATTGTACTTATCAACTGGGATAATATTTTGACAATGCACAGTTTCTTTATGTGGCTAGTATATAATATGGTTTCACAGTTTCAGTAATACAACACTGCAGACCTATTTTGGTCCATACTCTGCCATTATTGTTCAAAATTAATGACATCTTTTTGTGAGGTTTTAACATTTGACCTTAATACTTGTACCATTCCAAAATTCCCTCCACATAAAAAAATCACAAGATTACTGGACTTGAAAGTTGATGGGTTCCCACCAGTGATGATGTTCAGGGTTCGAATCAAGTATTGAGAAGCCTTGTCAGCGTCATTAATAGGCAATGTATGGCTTTAAAGGCATTTTGAAGTTAGATGAACATGAATGACACATTTTTATGGGTAACAACTTGTGTGTATTTTTTTTTATACGTGTTCTCCATAAAAACGTCATGCATTCATAATTAATACTTCAGCACAACATGCAGAATTGGGGAGGCGGACATTACAGTGTGATCAGAATCTTAAATGCAGTTCTTTAATGCAGTTCTGGGGCGGTGGGGTAGCCTAGTGGTTAAAGCGTTGGCTCGTCACGCCGAAGACCCGGGTTCGATTCCCCACATGGGCACAATGTGTTAAGCCCATTTCTGGTGTCCCCTGCCGTGATATTGCTGGAATATTGCTAAAAGCGGCGTAAAACCAAACTCAGTCAGTCAGTTTAATGCAGTTCTAGGAGATTCCATCTCTGATGTCACACACTCGCCAGCTCTAAACATCCTGAAGTTTCAGAAAGCTAATCAGTAAATCTCGTTGAATGTTTTTGAAGTTCTATGACCATGATTTGGTCAAGACATAATTCTGCATGCCACATAAAGTACTGGACAAGTAACATGTCAAACTTGGAGGTTGATCCCAGAGTTCATGGTTTTTATGCTTTGATTAATTCTGCAGTCAGCCTCATCATACACAGATGGAATTAACTACAAGGAGAGATGTTTCACACAGAATCACATCTCATGATCTGCAACATGGGAGAGAAATGAAATCTTGATAAAGGACAAAACTGTTACAAATTGTTTTCTGACATCTTTATTTCACACAGCCACATAGCACTTATTGCACCAACACACCTTTACATAGGCCTTCTATTTGTTTCAATACTGATACATCAAACCCTTCCTGTTGCAATGCTGTCACTCTGGCCCATCACTACGTTTGTTGCAATCCAGTTTTAAACACTGGGATCACTTATGACCAGCCAGGTATAGCAAGTTAGCATACTTGATCAATAATGGCATATTTGTCAAGTAACTTCCAGTATTTTCTCATCATCCAATATTTTCATACATTATAAGATGCAATTGTGAGTTAAACTGACAGACTGGCACTAATGCCTTTCAATCCAAAGAGGATAACATCAATCAACTTGCTGCACAAGATGCATAGTTCGCTCTCTTGCTGTAAGACACCTCAAATCTTAAACACTGTCAGTGGCTGCACTGATTGGATAAACGCTATTTCTTACACTTCAAAAATGTTTTTCAAGCTATCCAAAGTGATCCCATTTTCCAGACACACCAAGCAACTAGTTTAGTATGAAAAATCGATATGGCACGTTGATAAAAATGATGATAATAAAAGGCTAATAGAGCAGAGATGTGTTCTTTTAGGACAGAAATTTATCCTGCCCATCAGTCATTGGAGTGAATTGCAAAGACTAAGAATAGTAATGAAGTACAGTATGTCAGCTTGAGGACACTAAACAAGGATCATATTTCGGCTAAATACGGGATATGAACCCACAATACTGGCAACCACAAGTGACACAACCAACTGAGACACCTTTCACAACAGGGTGAACCCTTCAAGACACTGCAGGTATTGGCCAGGAGGCAGGCCTTCAAGACACTGCTGATATTGGCCAGAAGGCAGGCCTTCAAGACACTGCAGGTATTGGCCAGAAGGCAGGCCTTCAAGACACTGCAGGTATTGGCCAGAAGGCAGGCCTTCAAGACAGTGCAGGTATTGGCCAGAAGGCAGGCCTTCAAGACAGTGCAGGTATTGGCCAGAAGGCAGGCCTTCAAGACACTGCAGGTATTGGCCAGAAGGCAGGCCTTCAAGACACTGCTGCCAGAAGGCAGGCCTTCAAGACACTTGGATATTGGCCAGAAGGCAGGCCTTCAAGACACTGCTGATATTGGCCAGAAGGCAGGCCTTCAGGACACTGCAGATATTGGCCAGAAGGCAGGCCTTCAAGACAGTGCAGGTATTGGCCAGCCAGAGGCAGGCCTTCAAGACACTGCAGATATTGGCCAGAAGGCAGGCCTTCAAGACACTGCAGATATTGGCCAGAAGGCAGGCCTTCAAGACACTGCAGATATTGGCCAGAAGGCAGGCCTTCAAGACACTGCAGGTATTGGCCAGAAGGCAGGCCTTCAAGACACTGCAGATATTGGCCAGAAGGCAGGCCTTCAAGGCACTGCAGATATTGGCCAGAGGGCAGGCCTTCAAGACACTGCAGATATTGGCCAGAAGGCAGGCCTTCAAGACAGTGCAGGTATTGGCCAGAAGGCAGGCCTTCAAGACACTGCTGATATTGGCCAGAAGGCAGGCCTTCAAGACACTGCAGGTATTGGCCAGAAGGCAGGCCTTCAAGACACTGCAGATATTGGCCAGAAGGCAGGCCTTCAAGGCACTGCAGATATTGGCCAGAAGGCAGGCCTTCAAGGCACTGCAGATATTGGCCAGAGGGCAGGCCTTCAAGACACTGCTGATATTGGCCAGAAGGCAGGCCTTCAAGACACTGCAGGTATTGGCCAGAAGGCAGGCCTTCAAGACACTGCAGGTATTGGCCAGAAGGCAGGCCTTCAAGACACTGCTGATATTGGCCAGAAGGCAGGCCTTCAAGACACTGCAGGTATTGGCCAGAAGGCAGGCCTTCAAGACACTGCAGATATTGGCCAGAAGGCAGGCCTTCAAGGCACTGCAGATATTGGCCAGAGGGCTGGCATGCATACAAAGAAATAGGCAGTTCCTGGAGCCTGAATTTGCAAAGTGACTCTGGATTACAACTGTTGTAAGTATCAGAGCTGTGGCAGTAATGCTGAGTAAAATGCGTAAGATGAGTGGAAATGCCTCCAAATATTAACACACACAGTGAATTGATCAGTCAGCAAGGTTTCATAAAGTATGGCTACAATAACAATCCTCTCAGAGCTTCAGTGATTTACAAAACACCCAAGAAGTAATTTGACAATGTTGAAAGTTTTCTATTTTTAAGTTGTTATTGCTAAAGTTGTTCAATATTGCTCTCAATAGGACTTGTACAAATGTCATTTCGTGTTTAACATCTTCCTGATTTGGTTGCCCAACCATAAGAACTCACAAGCATTACATGTCGTGACTGTATTGTACAGAATGCTTCATGAAAAAGAAAAATACAGCCAAGGCTTTTAAGCTCACTTGACTTTTGAAGTTACAATTTTTATGTCCATGAAATAAGAAACAGAGTAAGTTGGCCAAATCTGCAGTCTGCTGTTGTTCCTGGCAGTGAAATAACTCATCATGGTTTGGCCATCTATTCCCTTTTATCCTTATTCGTTTGAAATATCTGTATTCATTATTTCCTGCATATGGGAAGATGCTCCGCCAAACTGCCAATTACTAAGGTACAAATCAAGTATTTGCACGTAAAACAACGGATCCAAAATATGCTCTGGTGATTACCAAGTATCCGTTCTTCGTTAAGCAGTCAAAGGTGGGTGGCAGACTGAAGTGCCAGTTTCCTTTTCATCTTCAAATTCCTCAGGACGACAATCCCTTTACAAAGGCATTTGTTGTTACTGATCATGGGTGTAAGCAACACAGCACAGGCCATGCAGACAGTGCATGTTTGTTTTGGCTTCTCCTTAGACCATCAGAGGGAGGCCTTTCTCCCCATGCAGACAGTGCATGTTTGTTTTGGCTTCTCCTTAGACCGTTCTCCCCATGCAGACAGTGCATGTTTGTTTTGGCTTCTCCTTAGACCTCCAAGCCTTTCTCCCCATGCAGACAGTGCATGTTTGTTTTGGCTTCTCCTTAGACCATCAGAGGGAGGCCTTTCTCCCCATGTTGACAGTGCATGTTTGTTTTGGCTTCTCCTTGGACCATCAGAGGGAGGCCTTTCTCCCCCTGCAGACAGTGCATGTTTGTTTTGGCTTCTCCTTGGACCATCAGAAGGACGCCTTTCTCCCCATGCAGACAGTGCATGTTTGTTTTGGCTTCTCCTTAGACCATCAGAGGGAGGCCTTTCTCCCCATGCAGACAGTGCATGTTTGTTTTGGCTTCTCCTTAGACCATCAGAGGGAGGCCTTTCTCCCCATGCAGACAGTGCATGTTTGTTTTGGCTTCTCCTTGGACCATCAGAGGGAGGCCTTTCTCCCCATGCAGACAGTGCATGTTTGTTTTGGCTTCTCCTTGGACCATCAGAGGGAGGCCTTTCTCCCCATGTTGACAGTGCATATTTGTTTTGGCTTCTCCTTAGACCATCAGAGGGAGGCCTTTCTCCCCATGCAGACAGTGCATGTTTGTTTTGGCTTCTCCTTAGACCATCAGAGGGAGGCCTTTCTCCCCATGCAGACAGTGCATGTTTGTTTTGGCTTCTCCTTGGACCATCAGAGGGAGGCCTTTCTCCCCATGCTGACAGTGCATATTTGTTTTGGCTTCTCCTTAGACCATCAGAGGGAGGCCTTTCTCCCCATGCAGACAGTGCATGTTTGTTTTGGCTTCTCCTTAGACCATCAGAGGGAGGCCTTTCTCCCTATGCAGACAGTGCATGTTTGTTTTGGCTTCTCCTTAGACCTTCAGGCCTTTCTCCCCATGCAGACAGTGCATGTTTGTTTTGGCTTCTCCTTAGACCATCAGAGGGAGGCCTTTCTCCCCATGCTGACAGTGCATATTTGTTTTGGCTTCTCCTTGGACCATCAGTTCTTTCTCCCCATGCAGACAGTGCATGTTTGTTTTGGCTTCTCCTTGGACCATCAGAGGGAGGCCTTTCTCCCCATGCAGACAGTGCATGTTTGTTTTGGCTTCTCCTTGGACCATCAGAGGGAGGCCTTTCTCCCCATGCAGACAGTCCATGTTTGTTTTGGCTTCTCCTTAGACCTTCAGAGGGAGGCCTTTCTCCCCATGCAGACAGTGCATGTTTGTTTTGGCTTCTTATTAACACATTATCCTGACATCTCCCAACCACCTCCACCCAGAGAAACTAACACAGGTATACAGTGTGCATCATTACATACTCCATCCTCAGTTTTAGCAGTGTGTTATATCTCCATTCTATTAGGATAAATACCTTTGGAGTCTGACTAAAAATATGTGACGTTAAAAAAAGAGGTCCAGAATGTAGCAACAATATTCTGGAGTAAAGTGGATGAACAAAACAACAACAAAATGGAGAGAAGTGTAAATATTGAAACATAATGTAGTGGTTAAAACCAGTCCACAGAGATTTGTGAATAGACCTTTTCTGTAACAATTACAGGACTCATACACCCTGTTTCTGAAATGCCTCTGAAATGTGAGAGTTAATTTCCTGCACCAATGACAGTGAAAGAAGTGAAGAGGTTGATAAATAGCGTATTAACAGGTGAACCTTGCAAAACAAGATAAACTCAACAAGTCAATGACATTGTGTTGACATATGAGGTTTGGCAGATTTGTAAAAGATTCACAAACCAAAGCACAAGAACAACAGCAGTAAATGAGGTAACACAAAAGTATTTCTAAACATTTACAAGTTACACATGACAGTGTAGGTATAATTATGAATAAATACGAACTCAGTAACACACAAACACAAAATAAATATCGTTCACATGCAGGGCAGTAACAGAAAAACATGTCACTTCACATAAATAAATATTCCATAAATAACCATATTTGTTCTTTGGATAAAATGAGAATATGATGACAATATAATCATTAAATATGTTATTTGAGGAAAAGATGAGATAGTGAGAAAGCAAGAGCAAAATCTCAAATAGAGCATAAACCAGGAACTAATAAGAGGTTCAACTGTTTCAGTATTTCATTTCTATCACACCAGATCACCTTGGTTTGGGAGGAAAGCTACTGATGTAGGTCATTAAATGTTTATAACTTTGGTGAAAGCAAGGTTTAATATCACTTTGAACACTATTATTTTTAGTTATATGACCAGCTGGTGGTCAACCATCCGAACAGCTTGGGCTGGTTGTGACCATTGAATCCCCTTGTTATCTGTTGTGGTATAACTTTTGGGTTACCTCCCTTTATACTTAGACCAATCTGTACCTAATAAACATGCTATATCTCCCCTTATCCTGGTATCCAAAGTTTTCATAGCGATGCATTTAAGCAGCGTTTAATATTCTCGCCTGCCTGACCGTCCGGAACAGTCTATTTTCATCTCGGACGGTCAAATTTCAAAAGTAGCCTGTCCGGTAGTCCGGTTGATATTTCTCTGATCTGAAAATGCAACAGATTTCTAGTTTGTAAACCAGGCCATGTACCTTAGCCTTAATGTTACATACATGCAGTAATGTATTCACAAATTTGATATTATTTTGGCTTTTTATTGTTGAAAACTGGACAGGCAAGTTTGTATCTGGACTGGCAATTTTTTTAAGTTACCAGTCCGGCTGTAAGGCTTGGAATTTTGGGAGTTTTAAACACTGATTTAAGTAACATTTTCTGCTAACATTCACAGGATTTATTATGTTTGTAACGTGATGCTGATCAAAACTATAACAGTAAATGCACAACCAAAAGCAAGTTTTAACATTAACAAAGACAATTCTACATGTGACAGATGAGTATGAAGAGAGTGCTCCATTGGGAAAGGGGCAAGATGATAATCAGCTTACAGAAGGAATGAAATCAGAACAAATGAAATATGTGAATAAAATGAATGTGGTTTGCAGTAATTTCCCAAGATTGGGTTTCCCAAGTTTGTAGCTATGAGGAACACCACCAACATCACCTTCAGGATTCCATCTCCCCAATCCAGGATAAACTCTTCCTAAATCTCTTCTTTACCATTGCCATTCGTAACTACTCGTGTCATTCCAGGAAGCCGGATGGCGTCTCGTACCCCTCTCGTGGCCATGTTTACGACTGGGCCCTGTCTAAGCGCAAACGGCCATGTAGATGAAAATAGTCTAGTACTATTGCCAAGGAAAGATAACTCTGAATTTCCAAACATTGTTCCTAGAATATCCTATATCCCGTGGGCAAAACAGCAATTCCCTTCGTAAATATGTTTCAGTGTTTAAAGTTTCTCATCCTTTAGCTCAAAGTTTATGTTTAAATTGTGCTTTGCATAGTTTAGCGAAGTTTCAAAGTTCAACAGTGCCGCCATTTTCATGTTATGAAATGTGTTTTACCACGTCTATTTGATTGGTTAGCCACGATTCTTGGCAATAATGGCGTACGATAGGGGTACGAGTCTTCTTGTAGGTCACGGAAAGAGGCGAGTAGTTACGAATGTACCATTGCCTTAAGCCCAAATGTTAGTCCAACTGAAACTTAACATCATAACACATAAAGAGGGTTTGTACAAGAATTCAAGTTTTTGGTGTATTTCTGAGAAATGTTTGTTTGAAGGAGAGTGATGTGCTAACATGGTTGATGTAAAAATGTTCAGGTCAATTACCTATCATTTTGAAGCATTATTACACCAATGTTACCTAACAAATGATTTCTAAATAAATAATCTAATTAAATAATGATCCAGAAAAATAATTCAAATCCATATGTTTGAGTATGTAGTCCTCTTGACAAAGATTCTTCATGACTGATGTGCCCTCCGTTTCTTAAAGAAGTTCAAGCTATGAAAAAATGAACGCATTCTTCGCATTCTGTTTTTCTTGCGATCGACTTTAGCCTGTGCTTCGGTAGCCTCCCTCTCTTTCCTGCGAATCTCTCGAACAAGTCCATGAAAAACATCGTCTACACACTGGCGCAGAACGGCAGAGGTTTCGTAGAATGGACACCTTAGTTGACGGGCGAGGGCAGCACCATCGTCTGTTGAAACCTGCAAGTAAATAGAAGGGGACGTCTGACATGAGTCTAATAAACCTTGCATGACTGTTAAGCATCTTCCCTACCCCATTCCCCCCTAACTGTTAGATCGATGTCAAGGGAACAATATTATCTACCTCCACAAACATCTGCCAAAGAATGGATGATGGCGTATCATGAAGGGGATGTGGAAGATCAGGTGACGCAGCCCTGTACAGAACCGATCAAAATGAGCAAAACAGTTTTTAACAATGATTATCTGTCAAAATGAATAGAAGTTGCCTATACTGACCTTGCGACGCTCTTCAAGGTCACACTTGTTACCAACAAGCACAATGGGAATATCCTGGTCACATCGGACTCGGTCAATCAACTTCTTGTACGCTAGAACTTCATCGAAGCTGCGGTGGTCAGTGATGGAGTAGCAGATGACGAAGCCCTCTCCCTTTCTCATGTACTGTTCCCGCATTGCGGTGAACTCGGGCTGGAACAGATGATATCATCATTATTATACAACCAAAACTAATGTTTTTATAAATACCTTCATCACTCTTGGCATTAGATCACTGAACACATGAAAATATCAAAATGTTCATAAGCATTTTCTGTTATAATGTTACAACATAAAATATACATCCTACTTATTCCCTGAGAAGAAAAACCAAATTGCATGTAATTAACTGTGGTTTTCGATGTGAAAAGCAAAGGCTGTGAACTTCTAATGGTTGACTAAACACACTGGGGTGGACAAAGTACTGACCTGACCAGCCGTGTCAAGGATATCCAGGTGGGCAGCTTCGCCATCAATACGGCACTGGTGTTCATACGCATCCTCTGTATAGACAAAATCACAATCACTGACCAGCAGGAGACACAAACTTTCCACAAAAACACAACTTACAAGTTGTAATATAATGTTTTTTCTTGCTCTTATCTAGTTTAAAGATTCCCCTCAACAAGCAGCAATATGTCTATGTACATTTGCTAATCTCGAAACTGGTTAATACAAGTTCCCCCCAATTTAGATTGCCTGAAAAAAAGTCAATTGAGTTTATGTCGCAGTTCATGTGTGTCATCGTCTGTTGTTAGCATTAGCATTTTCAACATCCGTCAGACTACGAGGCCTTTGGAGTTTCAAATAAAATTGCTTGTAGAATAACAGTAAACACTTAATACATTGAAATAGATTTATTGTGGACACTACTGTGCCCAGTCAATTTACCTTTTTACAAAGAGAACAAACTTAAAAGAATAAACTGATTTTGATGTCATTATTGCATTAAAAACAGATCCATCAAAAGTAGAGAGTACCTAGAAACAACAGAAAGAGTTATTAGTCCTGCAGAACATATGACTGAGAGTGCATGTAAGAGTCCCCGGATACACTATGATGCTGTGGTACTTTGTGGCACTACGATACTATGATATCTTGCAAATCGGTCTTCCCCACTACAGCTGATGATGCTGTGATCAGCTGGCTCCACCATGCTTCTGAGCCTTGTGATCTTTTGGCGGATGTTCTCTGATAAAGTTATATAAATTTGTGTGTGGTAATGATGCATTAATATGATTAAAACTTAAAACCAAGCCCCTAGTAGAGTTACAAATATTGCACCCCTGCCTTCGCCAGGCACCAAGTGACACATCAGACATGAGTCATTCCATGAGATACACATCATATATTTGTTCATAACATCCAGTAAGCGGCAGTGAGTCTACCATGAGTGAGTGACTGAATATTGCTCAATGCTGCATCAGCAATGTCACAGTGATCCATGGCAAGGACACTGCTCAACCCTAATCAATATCTTTGCAAAATAATAAATATACTTAGTCTGTCATACAGACCCTGAAGCAAATATATCAAAGAAAGCCCACACAAGTCTAGAAAATGTGGCAAGTATGGATTTCCAATAAATATTCCTGTCGCACACAATTTCAGCAGTAATGGGTGATAAGAACCTATGTACATGTTGTGAAATTCCAAGAAATTATCCCTCTGCGGATTTGTTTAGTCTCTGAAAATGAAGAAAGTCTGAGGGCTCCTTTTCATTATATTTTTTTAATGTTTTACTATGAGCTTTTTTTCTGTAAAATATGCTCATTTCAGAGACTAGTTGTTAGTCTAACATATACTTGTTGGTGAGGATACCTGACTGGGCAAGAGATGGATGTGAAGTATTTACCGATAGTAGGGTCATGATACTCCTGGAATCGGTGGTAGGCAAACTGTATCACCAGAGCTGAAACAAGCAAAGGATCACTTTAACATGCATGACATGCAGACATGTGTATGGAATACATGAATCTCATGAAACAAGCACCTGGTGCATACAAAATACTAATAACTGATGCCTAGAATGACTAATGCCAAATGTAAACAAACATTCCTCTTTCCATTGAACCCTGCAATATATTAGGCCTGACACGTTCATTCATGATGATATGAACATTACCAGACATCAACTGTAAACCTAAATTTTCTCTAACTGTATAGTCAATTATAATTTCTTAAAACCTGTTTCATTAAATATTGACGAAAATAATATGATTCTTTCTCAAAATGTAATGATAACAACAATAAGATATATTATGAATTATGGTGTTAACATTATTAATGTCCTCTAGCATGAAATTAATGCACTGTAATGTTTTCATGCAGCGTCATCATGTCCACGGTTATTATACTTTCACATTTTCACTACTGGAACAAGCAGTGTTTTGCCTTTAAGAAAAGCTTAATAATGAGGTTATTCCACAAGATTGACAAGAAGGAAGATGCTGACATATACTGTTGGAAACAGGAACTCTCAAAGTGATGTAACTCCTAGATATTTGACATCCATGAGTGAAGTAGTGAGTGAGTTTAGTTCTACGACGCACTCAGCAATATTCCAGCTATATGGCAGCGGTCTGTAAATAATGGAGTCTAGACCAGACAATCCAGTGATCAACAGCATAAGCATCGATGTACACAATACACAACTATGTTGCTGACAAGCCCAGAGTCATAATCAAGATGGACCTGAATGATCTTTTGTTTAATGGCATGCCTAAAGAAACAGTCATCCACACCCCTAATACTTGTATTGTCTTGTGCCACATTGTAGACTTAGGGAGCGTTCATAATTTATGGCTGAGGGGGGGAAAGAGATGATTTTTATGGAGTAGCATGTACAATGTGAATGACACCACCTAAAATTTATGTACAAAGTAAATGGCCCACCCCACCCCCACATGTCAAAAATGTTTAAATATTTTTAAGTACAAATTGCTGACCCCCCCACCTCCCTAGACCACCAAACCCACCCCCACCCCATAAATTATGAACAGTCCCTTGCTGCCTTGTTCTGTGATATATGTCATTGAGACCTTGACATGGCAACAACTGATGTAAATCTATGTCACAATCATTCAATTAATTAATGCAAGCAAAGGTCACATGCATTTCCAATACTAATGACACTATTTACAGTATTTACTCACATAAGGCTTTTCAGTGACCTTTATACAAGAATTTCAACTGTGTCTGATTAAAGTTAAACAGCAGCTACAGTTTATTCCAATAGCTGCATGAATACTCCCGAGCTCTGTAATACTGTCGGCTGATCCACCCCCACACCAGTTACACTTAATGTCACCTCCCACACTCAATACCATCGCTGTTTGCTGTCTCCAGCTGATCATGGATCCCAGCATATTTACTCTCATAATATAACCAAGCAAAGCACTGAAGCTTCCCTGCTACAGTTTGTATATTAATGTTGAGGAAGGGTTATTTTTGCAGGACGTACAAGGCATTACCTTTGTATTTAGTGGATCACAGGCCATGAGGTGGAGAAGTAAACAAGGACTACAAGGCTCTGTAGCTCACCTGACTTATGAAGTAATAATGGTGGCTTTCGCCAACCAATGAGTGAGTTTAGTTTTATACTGCTTTTAACAATATTCCAGCAAAATCATGGCAGGTTACACCAGAAATGGGCTTCACAAATTGTACCATGTAGGGAATTGTCAACCAAAGATCAAATCACACTTCTCACTATACCTAAAATGAAAATCAACAAAAAACTACATCCCATTTTGGTTTATGTAAGTACATCCCATTTTGGGTTATGTAAGAATGACCCCTAATCTGACTCGTCAAAATTTCTTTGACAAGATCAGGTAAACTGACAGTTGGAACGTGTTTTATTGTTATAGAACCCTGAGTATGGACAACTAATTCTGATGTTAAAAAATTTGAAATGAAAAAACTGCGAGAACCAATGGGAAGTCATACAATCTTGGTCATCTGTGAGACATTCATCAGATTCATGTGATATCAGGCAACTGATCTGAATGACAGTGAGTCACATCATGGCTGGGATCAAACACTGCATTAGCTCCGTGTACATGTATTTGAGTTAACGTCAAGGTCACGTCCATGGTTTCATCAAAAGTTCAAATACATAAAAAGGAAAATATTACATTTGCTGCTTATCAACTTCCATTGTCAACATACAGAAATGCCTTAGTTACTGTGTTTTCCATCCAGCTGAGTGAACAAGAACATTAGCATCTATCTAGGTCCCGAAGTCGAAAAGTGCATGAAATGTTGGTATTAACAGAACAAGTTAACTTTGGCTAAGTCTGTGTATCAAGGACAAAGGACGGAATCCTATATGAAGTATACATGAATTCAATTATCTACGACTGATGAAGTCGGCTAAATGTTAACATTATCCTATTGGTGATGTAGAGGAGTAAATACTGATAATTAACCAAATATTTTTGAGAGTGTGACATCCTGTTTCAGTGAAAACTTAACCTGTAATCTTCTTTTTCCTTGATGAAAATACATTAACACAAATTACATCCCTGATTTGTTGAAATCTGAGTACTATTATTACTTGCCAACTATCCTATTTCAGTAACAATCACCTATTAATCTGTAGCCTCATTAAACATGATCAAGGAGACAACCTACTGACTGACTGAGTTTAGTTTTACGCCGCTTTTAGCAATATTCCAGCAATATCACGGCGGGGGACACCAGAAATGGGCTTAATACATTGTGCCCATGTGGGGAATCGAACCCGGGTCTTTGGCGTGATGAGCCAACGCTTTAACCGCTAGGCTACCCCACCGCCCCGACAACCTACTGACTTCCTTTCATCTCATGTGTTTGATCCCTAGGGCTGGGACGATACACTATGTCACGATACGATACGTATTGCGATATTTAACCTGCGATACGATACGTATCACGATACATACACCTTGAAAGAATGACACAGTATTAAGATTTAAAATGATTTATTTCAAGGTATTTGTGTATAACAATAACACTGTTGTAAAAAACAAACAAGTAACTCTATCATACTTGCATATTTTTCTCTAAATAAGTAATTGAACATGTTTCAGATAATAGTGTTTTGAAAAAAGTCGTGTATCGTTTTGTATCGACACACCAGTCGATGATGCGATAGTTGTATCAAACTTACATGTATCATGATGTATTGGTGCATCGGTGAATTGTTCCAGCCCTATTGATTCCAGTTTGCAAAACTGACTCGGCTGGTCCTGGACCCATCAGCAGGAAAATATACGACATGTAAAACATGTTGGTCATGGAAACCAGCACAACAGAGCGTCTACAAGTCAATAGCAAAATCAATCATAGGGGTCAAGATGGTGACCGTAGCAATAATCATTTGTGTTTTTTCCCAACCTGATACTAGGTTATTAATGAGCTCAGTCATGTATTCCTGACAATTTCAGCATACGTAAATGCAACAGTTCTGCAACAAGCGATAACAAAGGGCCGACATGATACAAGGATACAACGTCATGTTGTTGCTGTATAAGAGGAATGTATAGAAATTCACGCCCACCTCACACGATCTAATTCCTATTATAGATCGAGAGCTCTATCATACATAAAGCATCAGCTCTGTCACATTTATGGATTCAAACAAGTTGTACCAAAACCTGACTTCCTATATAATAACTGATCAAATGTACTAATATATCTTAAACAATGTTCGAACATTCCCCACCCCCCCTTAAAGTCAAATAACCAAACAGATCAATATAACTCTAGGCAAAAAATATAAATATAATGGAAATCTGACCTAAAAAACTGTTGATATTTTTACTAGCAGGCAGGCACTCAATGGCAAACCCTCAAACAGGATCTCAACAGGCTTCTTCCTACCTTTAACAGACAATTTAACAAAAAAATCTGTGTAGATATATAACTAAATATTTGTAAGAGGATATCATACATTTTCTATGAGCTTGTTTCCATGAGTTGACAAATCAATTCTAGTTTCTCTCATACAGTTACAGTTTTTTATCTCCAAAAATTTGTTTGGTCCAGACTATGTCATTTACCTCTTTACCCAAACTGACGCACAGGGTTGGAATCTATAACGTCCATATTAGAAATACCACTGCTCAGCCCTATTGTCCAACTCTAGTTAACTAGCATGATTGTTTACATTAAAGTTACAAGCATTCCCGAGGGCACCTATCATGCCAGTCACGACCTTGATGGCATAGAAAGTGGGTCTGCATGTCACAACACATCCTGCAAAGAAGGGCATTTCCTGGCTGGAATGTTAATAGATTGATTTTGACATGCACCAGGAACAAACAAGAAAGTTCAGCAGAATACAGTCAAACCCATATACTAGGATTCAAGCCTGCGGAGTTCTGTGGAAACCCATCAAAACCATATACATGTACCAGGATTCAAGCCTACAGAGTACTGTGGAAACCCTCATATACCAGGATTCAAGCCTACAGAGAACTGTGGAAACCCATCAAACCCATTTACCAGGATTCAAGCCTAGAGAGTACTGTGGAAACCCATCAAACACACATGCCATGGTTTCAAGCCTACAGAGTACTGTGGAAACTCATATACCAGGATTCAAGCCTACAGAGTACTGTGGAAACCCATCAAACCCATATACCAGGATTCAAGCCTACAGAGTACTGTGAAACCCATCAAAACACCCATCAAGCCTACAGAGTACTGTGGAAACCATCAAACACACATGCCATGGTTTCAAGCCTACAGAGTACTGTGGAAACCCATCAAACACACATGCCATGGTTTCAAGCCTAGAGAGTACTGTGGAAACCCATTCACAGCCATGGTTTCAAGCCTAGAGAGTACTGTGGAAACCCATCAAACACACCAGGATTACCAGGATTCAAGCCTACAGAGTACTGTGGAAACCCATCAAACCCATATGCCAGGATTCAAGCCTACAGAGTACTGTGGAAACCCATCAAACACACATGCCATGGTTTCAAGCCTACAGAGTACTGTGGAAACCCATCACATGCCATGGTTTCAAACCCATCAAACACACCAGGATGCCACTGTGGAAACCCATATACCAGGATTCAAGCCTACAGAGAGTACTGTGGAAACCCATCAAACATCATTTACCAGGATTCAAGCCTACAGAGTACTGTGGAAACCCATGGAAACCCAAACCCATATACCAGGATTCAAGCCTACAGAGTACTGTGGAAACCCATTCATATACCAGGATTCAAGCCTACAGAGTACTGTGGAAACCCATCAAACTCATATACCAGGATTCAAGCCTACAGAGTACTGTGGAAACCCATCAAACTCATATACCAGGATTTCAAGCCATCAAACATATAGAGACTACAGAGAACTGGAAACCCATCAAACTCATATACCAGGATTCAAGCCTACAGAGTACTGTGGAAACCCATCAAACTCATATACCAGGATTCAAGCCTACAGAGTACTGTGGAAACCCATCAAACTCATATACCAGGATTCAAGCCTACAGAGTACTGTGGAAACCCATCAAACTCATATACCAGGATTCAAGCCTACAGAGTACTGTGGAAACCCATCAAACCATATACCAGGATTCAAGCCTACAGAGTACTGTGGAAACCCATCAAACTCATATACCAGGATTCAAGCCTAAAGAGTACTGTGGAAACCCATCAAACTCATTTACCAGGATTCAAGCCTACAGAGTACTGTGGAAACCCATCAAACTCATATACCAGGATTCAAGCCTACAGAGTACTGTGGAAACCCATCAAACTCATATACCAGGAATCAAGCCTACAGAGTACTGTGGAAACCCATCAAACTCATATACCAGGAATCAAGCCTACAGAGTACTGTGGAAACCCATCAAACTCATATACCAGGATTCAAGCCTACAGAGTACTGTGGAAACCCATCAAACTCATATACCAGGAATTCAAGCCTACAGAGTACTGTGGAAACCCATCAAACTCATATACCAGGATTCAAGCCTACAGAGTTCTGTGGAAACCCATCAAACACATATACCAGGATTCAAGCCTACAGAGTACTGTGGAAACCCATCAAACTCATATACCAGGATTCAAGCCTACAGAGTACTGTGGAAACCCATCAAACTCATATACCAGGATTCAAGCCTACAGAGTACTGTGGAAACCCATATACCAGGATTCAAGCCTACAGAGTACTGTGGAAACCCATCAAATTCATATACCAGGATTCAAGCCTACAGAGTACTGTGGAAACCCATCAAACCATATACCAGGATTCAAGCCTACAGAGTACTGTGGAAACCCATCAAACTCATATACCAGGATTCAAGCCTACAGAGTACTGTGGAGAGTACTGTGGAAACCCATATACCAGGATTCAAGCCTACAGAGTACTGTGGAAACCCATCAAACTCATATACCAGGATTCAAGCCTAAAGAGTACTGTGGAAACCAATCAAACTCATATACCAGGATTCAAGCCTACAGAGTACTGTGGAAACCCATCAAACACATTTACCAGGATTCAAGCCTACAGAGTACTGTGGAAACCCATATACCAGGATTCAAGCCTACAGAGTACTGTGGAAACCCATCAAACTCATATACCAGGATTCAAGCCTACAGAGTACTGTGGAAACCCATATACCAGGATTCAAGCCTACAGAGTACTGTGGAAACCCATAAAACCCATATACCTGGATTCAAGCCTACAGAGAACTGTGGAAACCCATAAAACCCATATACCAGGATTCAAGCCTACAGAGTACTGTGGAAACCCATATACCAGGATTCAAGCCTACAGAGTACTGTGGAAACCCATCAAACTCATTTACCAGGATTCAAGCCTAGAGAGTACTGTGGAAACCCATCAAACACACATGCCATGGTTTCAAGCATACAGAGTACTGTGGAAACCCATCAAACACATTTACCAGGATTCAAGCCTAGAGAGTACTGTGGAAACCCATCAAACACACATGCCATGGTTTCAAGCCTAGAGAGTACTGTGGAAACCCATCAAACACATTTACCAGGATTCAAGCCTACAGAGAACTGTGGAAACCCATCAAACACACATGCCATGGTTTCAAGCCTACAGAGTACTGTGGAAACCCATCAAACACACATGCCATGGTTTCAAGCCTAGAGAGTACTGTGGAAACCCATCAAACACACATGCCATGGTTTCAAGCCTAGAGAGTACTGTGGAAACCCATCAAACACATTTACCAGGATTCAAGCCTACAGAGAACTGTGGAAACCCATATACCAGGATTCAATCCTACAGAGTACTGTGGAAACCCATCAAACTCATTTACCAGGATTCAAGCCTAGAGAGTACTGTGGAAACCCATCAAACACACATGCCATGGTTTCAAGCCTACAGAGTACTGTGGAAACCCATCAAACACACATGCCATGGTTTCAAGCCTAGAGAGTACTGTGGAAACCCATCAAACACATTTACCAGGATTCAAGCCTAGAGAGTACTGTGGAAACCCCTATACCAGGATTCAAGCCTACAGAGTACTGTGGAAACCCATCAAACTCATATACCAGGATTCAAGCCTACAGAGTACTGTGGAAACCCATATACCAGGATTCAAGCCTACAGAGTACTGTGGAAACCCATCAAACTCATATACCAGGATTCAAGCCTACAGAGTACTGTGGAAACCCATATACCAGGATTCAAGCCTACAGAGTACTGTGGAAACCCATCAAACTCATATACCAGGATTCAAGCCTAAAGAGTACTGTGGAAACCCATCAAACTCATATACCAGGATTCAAGCCTACAGAGTACTGTGGAAACCCATCAAACACATTTACCAGGATTCAAGCCTACAGAGTACTGTGGAAACCCATATACCAGGATTCAAGCCTACAGAGTACTGTGGAAACCCATCAAACTCATATACCAGGATTCAAGCCTACAGAGTACTGTGGAAACCCATATACCAGGATTCAAGCCTACAGAGTACTGTGGAAACCCATAAAACCCATATACCAGGATTCAAGCCTACAGAGAACTGTGGAAACCCATAAAACCCATATACCAGGATTCAAGCCTACAGAGTACTGTGGAAACCCATATACCAGGATTCAAGCCTACAGAGTACTGTGGAAACCCATAAAACCCATATACCAGGATTCAAGCCTACAGAGTACTGTGGAAACCCATATACCAGGATTCAAGCCTACAGAGTACTGTGGAAACCTATCAAACCCATATACCAGGATTCAAGCCTACAGAGTACTGTGGAAACCCATCAAACACATTTACCAGGATTCAAGCCTACAGAGTACTGTGGAAACCCATCAAACACATTTACCAGGATTCAAGCCTACAGAGTACTGTGGAAACCCATCAAACTCATATACCAGGATTCAAGCCTACAGAGTACTGTGGAAACCCATCAAACACATATACCAGGATTCAAGCCTACAGAGTACTGTGGAAACCCATCAAACTCATATACCAGGATTCAAGCCTAAAGAGTACTGCTGTGGAAACCCATCAAACACATTTACCAGGATTCAAGCCTACAGAGTACTGTGGAAACCCATCAAACTCATATACCAGGATTCAAGCCTACAGAGTACTGTGGAAACCCATCAAACACATATACCAGGATTCAAGCCTGAAACCATGGCATGTGTGTTTGATGGGATTCCACAGTACTCTGTATGCTTGAAACCATGGCATGTGTGTTTGATGGGTTTCCACAGTACTCTGTAGGCTTGAAACCGTGGCATGTGTGTTTGATGGGTTTCCACAGTACTCTGTAGGCTTGAAACCATGGCATGTGTGTTTGATGGGATTCCACAGTACTCTGTAGGCTTGAAACCATGGCATGTGTGTTTGATGGGTTTCCACAGTACTCTGTAGGCTTGAAACCATGGCATGTGTGTTTGATGGGTTTCCACAGTACTCTGTAGGCTTGAATCCTGGTAAATGAGTTTGATGGGTTTCCACAGTACTCTGTAGGATTGAATCCTGGTATATGGGTTTCCTCAGTACTCTGTAGGCTTGAATCCTGGTACATGTATATGGTTTTGATGGGTTTCCACAGAACTCCGCAGGCTTGAATCCTAGTATATGGGTTTGACTGTATTCTGCTGAACTTTCTTGTTTGTTCCTGGTGCATGTCAAAATCAATCTATCAACATTCCAGCCAGGAAGTGCCCTTCTTTACAGGAAGTGTTGTGTCATACAGACCCACTTTCTATGCCATCAAGGTCGTGACTGGCAAGATAGATGGCCTCGGGAATGCTTGTAACTTTAATGTAAACAATCATGCTAGTTAACTGGAATTGGACAATAGGACTGTGGAAACCCATCAAACTCATTTACCAGGATTCAAACATGCAGACAGCTGTGGAACAGTCAAACACAAATACAATAGCATGTACTAAACACAGCCCAATTTTCCTGCAACGTCCTAGTTGTCTAAATCAAAGTCTGTTCCAGTCAGCTGAGAGCATAAGCATCCATCCACTCTATCCACACACGGTACCATACCATCCAAACATCCAAGTCTGACCATCCAAACCTTTTTGTACAGGTCCTACAGCGACCCTTAGATACTGAGGACCTATACGGGACAAAATAAGTTAGGGATATTGGTGTTTTTATGATTGATATTTTAATAGCGTGTCAATGAATAAGTAGATTATTATTCATAATTTCAAAATTTACATATATCCCCAACTATTTTTGCCCAGTATATTTCACCCCTGAATCCCACTTGAATCACAACTCCCCATTAACTAACTTGTACTTCCTCAACACATAAAAAAGGCAGATCTCTTAGAAATACTTCACAAAGCAAGCGAAATGCGAAAATCTACATTTCTTACCTTTTTAGAAATCATGTACTAAAAAACTCAAACTTAATACAACACCAGATTTTAAATGCTGCTAATGTCTAGACAATAGTCTCGGTAAAGTACTTAATAACATAAAACTGACAGTCTCTAAGGGTAAAAAAGGTAATAATTAATGATACAGCGGCATAACATCTGAAGTCTGTTTTGTTTACAACGTATGTAACTAGGGCAATTAGATTTGTTGTGAAGTCCTTGCCTGACAGTTTCTCATTAATGAGCACTAGATTACGGAAAGGAAGCCAATCTCATCTGTGATTAAAGTTGCTTGATACTATAGGACACTCTGTGCCATCATCAGTCTTGGGTTACACGCCATCTGATTGGAGACAGGAATCCCTTGCTGAACAGGACCGACTGCCAGGGAAAGAGATCATAGACATTATAGTGATGACTGCCAGTTTATGTCAGCCATTATGCTCTCCCTAAAGTGTCCCACTGAAAACCTATGGCAGTTCTGGATATTTCTACATGCTATAGAATATGTACAATTTTGTTCTAAAGAAAGGGAAACATATCCTTGCATAATACAATGAAATAAAATAATGCAATTTTGAACAATAAAAAACACTTTGCCCTCCCTACAACACAACTTGTAGGTTCTATTTGCCTGCTGCATCCAGGTTTTGAATCTTATCCCACTTAAACTCCTTGATAAGATGAATGAAATATATACCACTTTAAAGATGGTAAAGGACATATTCTGCAAGTGGAATTATCATACATGATGATGATGATGATGATGATGATGATGACGATGATGACGACACTGGCAAATTTCTCTGACAATTTAGATCAAATACATATTTTACGATTTGTATATTACCATGGCAACCAGATAACAGGAAACTGGCCACTTTTCCCTAATATCCATGTAGTATTCTTAAATTAGTTTGTTAATTTGCTAATCGTGTCCAGTTTTGATTGGGATAGAATTCTGACATAAATAACCGAAGGCGATTTCTATTGTAATGTAAAATTTCAAAAATTTCCATCTAATACAATGACCATCTTTTAGATTGTCCAAGAACATTAACTTGGAAGCAATGTGACGTGCATTGATTCTATTGATTATATTGATCATCCAGGCGTCACACTAAACCAATAAATCTTATCACACACTACATAGATTCAACGCAGATTTAACTGGTCTGTAGTGAAACATTCACAGCTGTATCTTTATTGTATCAGCTGCAAGTGATTCTGCTGACCCTTTCATCTTCTTCCAAACAATTTGCCACAGATGTTCCTATGGACTTTCTCAAAATACTCAAGTCTCATAATTCTTTCAAAAAGATATGAAGCACACACAATCTGTTCTTGTCTTGCTCTAATCTGCTGTATAAACATGTATCCAAATAAATATGTTCCAGAAAATAGAAAGTTGACAAATGATGCTTCAGAATCAATTTACAAAAAAATTGCAGCAGACTGTTTGGGTTGTTCCCTGAAAATGTGAGTGTTGAAGTGATATGAAGAAGATGATGATGGCTTGCTGGCCAGGTGCTTGCACTGCTTTCACACATCCCAGCACATCAGGTTACCTCTTCAACAGTGGGGCACACAAAAATTAACACATGCTTTGTGAAAGATTCTCAAACTTGAATTGAGCCTTTTTATTTTTGTTTTTTACATTTTCTATGTAGTTTAGCATTTGAGTCTTTACATAGTGGACAGAAATATATATATATATATATAAATAACGTTTATAATGTTGTCAGTAAAGTAATGAAGTAAAAAATACATACAATTCACAAAAAATTCAACAACCAGAAATGTAAAGGAACGAGTCTAAACTTCCAGACATACTTCAATGTAGACTCAGACTGAGAGGTCTGTGTGTCACAGGTTACAGGTCGTAACACAAGACATTTCAGGCTACCTGGGTTACAGATCAGTGGCTTAAAAGAAACACACATTTCCATGTACCTACCATCCTCTGGCCTTGCATTCTTTAAACCTGACCAAAATTATCCAAATCAATCAGAAACTCTTACCAAATAATCGTTCATTTTCACAGGCATATTTTCTTTTGTTGCAAATATCTGAACTTAACTCTGTGGCTTCTATTTCAAAATGTCCTAACACTACAATCAGCTTTGGTCCACAAAACTTCTAGTCCAGATTAGGTATAGGTTACATATGCAGGATAAATATGAAATAACACACATCTTAAATAAAACAAATCCACGTTCTCAGACTGAAGACATAAACAACCCCTACAGACAGAGCACTGTATGAACTGCAACAGAAACGTTTCCAGCACATACAGAAATACGGAAACTTCACCCACTCCATTCTGAATCACCATGAACTGATCAACCGTATAACACTAATTTACTTTGCCTGTTTTTCCTAACCCCTCATGTATGCCATTACCATTCAAACGTTCTTCCTCATTATATAATATCACATAAACAGATACAAAGTTTTCTTTTCCAAACTGACCTGTCTTCCAATCTGAATCTCCGCTTTGTGAGATCATCTTGTCCTCTATGACAACATTGATTTCATCTACCTTCTTAGTTCTTCACATCAGCCTCTACGCTTTAATATTTACAGCATTCCTCAAAACTGAACAATTCAACTCAGTTCCCTCTTTTTGTGATTCTTCCATGAAGCTAACCAATAAGACTTGCAGCAGACCTATATAACTTATTTCCTCCAGTTGTGAATCTTCCTTGCAGCGGACCTATAGAACTTATCTCCTCCAGTTGTGCGTCTTCCTCTAAGCTGACCTATTTAGCTCACCTCCTATAGTTGTGAGTCTTCCTTGCAGCTGACCTATTTAGCTCAACTCCTATAGTTGTGAGTCTTCCTTGCAGCTGACCTATTTAGCTCAACTCCTATAGTTGTGAGTCTTCCTTGCAGCTGACCTATTTAGCTCAACTCCTATAGTTGTGAGTCTTCCTTGCAGCTGACCTATATAACTCATCTCCTCCAGGTGTGAGTCAACCTCTAAGCTGACCTATATAACTCATCTCCTCCAGGTGTGAGTCAACCTCTAAGCTGAGTGATATAATGCATCCCCAACAGCTGGGTTATATCGGTCTGCTGCAAGACTCACAATTTTTCTTCCTGTGTAAGTCTACCTAATAGCTGATGGATATATAACTATATCATGTCTGAAACTAGAATATTTGCCGAAACTGAATCTCATTAATTGCACATTTCAAGTCACTGTAAGCCCTTTCCTTATTCAAGATGCATCATAACCTATTACATGTATATAAAAAGCATGTCTGTTCATAACACAAAAGAACCAAGGTAAGATTTCCACGACAATATTGTTTCATACATAATAAGAGCTCAATACATTCTAATATAAAGACACTGATATCAGAAGACACCCATTAACAACCTCCATACAGACATGGACAAAGCCTACTTTCATCAAATTAATCAATAATGTTCCTCATATAAATAGCAAACCAATCAATCAAATTCTGTTAATCAAGGCTGGCTGATGGCACCTGAACATTGAGGAGGAACAGCTTAGGCGACACAGAGCCACTGTATCTCTTTCAAAGACAGGAATAATATCAAATAGTGCCCCTCAAACACGCTTAACAGTTAAAGTGTTATTTGGATTGTCACTGGCAGCTTGTCACAGGTTTAATATGATGTAGATATCACACACTGACTACATTGATGTTCCAGATAATTAAACATTTGCAGTTTTACTGATGTTGTGTTGTGCTCCACAGGTATTCTTTGATCAGACACTGCATCAACATAAACAAACAATACTTCAAAACAATACAAGAAGTCATGCTTTTGCACAGCTGCTAATCAAACACTGCATGAGTCATCCAAGGATGGACTTGTGAACCGATCATTTAGAGCAATTTTCATGCATGTCATGGCTGAAAAGACTTGCCAAGCACAGAGTGCATGAATCCTCCAATGATAGACCTGTCAAGCATAGAGCATGTGAACCATCCAAGGATAGACTTGTCAAGCATAGAGCATGTGAATCATCCAAGGATAGACTTGTCAAGCATAGAGCATGTGAACCATCCAAGGATAGACTTGTCAAGCATAGAGAGTGTGAATCATTCAAGAATAGACTTGTCACGCACAGAGCATGTGAATCATCCAAGGATAGACCTGTCAAGCATAGAGTGTGTCAATCATCCAAGGAAAGACTTGTCAAGAATAGAGCATGTGAATCATCCAAGCATAGACTTGTAAAGCACAGAGCATGTGAATCATCCAAGCATAGACTTGTAAAGCACAGAGCATGTGAATCATCCACGGAAAAACTTGTAAAGCACAGAGAGTGTAAATCATCCACGGAAAAACTTGTAAAGCACAGAGAGTGTAAATCATCCACGGAAAAACTTGTAAAGCATAGAGCATGTGAATCATCCACAGAAAACTTGTAAAGCACAGAGAGTGTGAATCATCCACGGAAAACTTGTAAAGCACAGAGCGTAAATTTAATTGACAGAGGAAAATGAGGTCATTACAAGAACGTCCTTCAAGGTCTTACTGTTTTCATTGAAGTAGATAGCATAAGCTTACTGTGTTACTGTTTTGTTTCCGTGGATTAAGACACACACTACTTAACATACTTTGCTTTCATTAATGTACTGAGAAAACATTCCAGCGATTGACACAACTATGTTATTGTTTTCATTGATGTTGATATTACTACCATATGGTTTTCATTGATGTTGATATTACTACCATATGGTTTTCATTGATGTTGATATCACTACCATATGGTTTTCATTGATGTAGATATTACTACCATATTGTTTTCATTGATGTTGATATTACTACCATGTGGTTTTCATTGATGTAGATATTACTACCATATGGTTTTCATTGATGTTGAT